GGCGTGGCCGCTCGACCTTGCCGTCACCCACAGATTTGGGTGACGACAAGGTCGAGCGGCGACCATGGTGAGGCCGCTCGACCTCGCCGTCGTCCACATTTGGGTAACGGCAAGGTCGAGCGGCGGCCATGGTGAGGCCGCTCGGCCTAGCCAGGCTGGTCGAACTTGCCGGCCTCAGCCAGTCGCCGGTTCGGTGAAGAATATAGGGAAAAAAAAAGAAAAAGAAAAAAAAAATTTAAAAAAATTATTAAGTAATTTTTCTTTTTTTTAGGTACGTGTCCATTTGAAGGTCTCGCAATCCAAGTGAACGTTACAATTCTCATCAAATTGACCACATTATACTACAAAGATTTTAGTCAAATACTTGAGTAAGTCTTCTTGATATGGTAATTTTTTATTTTTTTTTTCAATTTCAAAGTAATTGTTTCGTCAAAAACACAATTTTAATTTTTAGAATTTTATGGTTTTAATTAAGAATATTAAACAGTAGAACAATAGATATGATATTTTTAATATTTTATGAAATTTTTTAATTTTTATACGGACACAATGCAAAGAGACAGGGCTTGGATGTATAATAAGAACTTACCTGGACGTCAAGGATTGATTGATGGGTTTCGTACTGGGTTGGAACTATTTTTGGACTTTGATAGTAGTAAATTTGAGTTCATGGATGGAAATAAGTTAAGGTGTCAGTGTAAAAAGTACAGTAATGATAAATTTCGTTTGTGTGATAAAGTTAGAGAACATTTTTGTAGATTTGAGTTTACTCCAAACTACTATAATTGGACTTGCCTTGGTGAACCATTTATATCTGATGAAAGATATCGAAGAAGTGACCAATTTTTAGTTAGGGAAGAATGTAGCTATTATAATCAATTGAACCTATACCAGAGGATGGTGATTGATACAGGTGGTCAGAATTTTATTTCAGAATCGATCCATGCAAGTACTAGTTTTACTTCTACACTTGAACAAGTGGGCACTAGTCATGCATCACAATTGGAAGAGATAGGAATAACAGGTTTTGATGAGAATGTGTGTAATGGAACTTTTCCATCTAATCAGTTCTGAGAAGTGTTGAAAGCAGTAGATGAACCTTTATGGGCAGGTTGTGACAATCATACTAAGTTATTAGTGACAGCAAGACTGTTAAATATCAAGGCAGAGCATAATGTGTCTGAGAATTGCTTCAACTCTTTTGTTGAAGTAATGCAGGAAACAATGCCTCGTGATAACATCATGCCAAGTGATTTTTACGACATGAAGAAACTAGTGGATAACTTAGGTCTTCCAGTTGTAAGGATTGATGTATGTAGTAGGGGTTGTATGTTATATTGGAGAGATGATGAAAATACAGAATCTTGCAAATTCTGTAGCCAACCTAGGTATAAGATTAACAGGAAGCAGGGTCATAATCAGAAGCGTAGACCATGCAAGAAAATGTTTTATCCGCCCTTAATCCCTAGATTGCAAAGGCTTTATGTGTCTCAAGCCACTGCTGAACACATGACTTGGCATGCAAATCATGAAACGGAAGAGGGTCTAATGTGTCATCCTTTAGATGCAGAAGCATGGAAACATTTTGATAGAACATACCTTGAGTTTGCGATAGAGCCTCGAAATATCAGGTTAGGTCTATGTGCTGATGGATTTGCCCCATTTGGGAAATCAGGAAAAAGTTATTCATGTTAGCCAATTATCTTAACTCCGTACAATCTTTTACTTGGTATGTGCATGAAGACACCTTATATGTTTTTGACATTGATCGTGATTGGCCCGCAAAATCCAAAAAAGTTGATAGATGTTTATATGTAACCATTGATTGAAGAGTTACAACGACCATAAGATGAAAGTGTCCTTACATATGATGTTTGTGCTGATCAAACATTTGTAACGAAGGCTGCTCTTCTTTGGATGATAAATGACTTTCCAGCTTATGAAATGTTATCTGGATGGAGTACAGCTGGGATCTTAGGATGTCCGATATGTTTGGAGAGATCAAAGTCATTCAGATTAAAACATGATAAGAAGGCCAGCTATTTTGACTGTCATAGATAATTTTTGCTGATAAGTCATACATTCAGAAGGAATAAGAAAGAGTTCATCAAGAATAGGATTGAAAGAACACCTTTACCATTGAGGTTGACCGGTGATCAAATTTACGAGTGAGTGCATGACTTTCTAACTGTTGTTGAAAACCTTCATGGCACAATTATTGCGTACTGAAGTACATATAAGTGGACTAAACACAATATATTTTGGGATCTACCATATTAGAATGCCCATCTTATTCATCATAATCTTGATGTCATGCATATATAAAAGAATGTTTTTGACAATGTCATAAATACTGTGATGGATGTTACTAGAAAAATAAAAGATAACTCGAATGCAAGAAAAGATATGAGAGATATTTATGATCGGCCAACACTAGATGTGGATGCAAGCAGCAGGGGACTAAAACCAAAAGCAGTTTATACATTGGACAAGGAATAGAGATGGGTTGTTTGTCAATGGTTGAAATCTGTGCTGTTTCCTGATGGATATGCTTCGAACCTCGGGAGATGTGTTGATTTGAATGAATGTAAGTTGACAGGTTTGAAGAGTCATGATTGTCACATATTTATGGAAAGACTAATTCCAATAGCTTTCAAGGAACTTCTACCAAACTTTGCATGGGGCGCCATTACAGAGTTAAGTAATTTCCTTCATGATATTTGCTCAATAGTGTTAAAAGCATCACACATAGAGAAACTAGAGAAAAATATTTCAATTATTCTTTGCAACTTAGAAAAGATATTTCCACCATCGTTTTTTGATTCAATGGAGTATCTCTTAGTTCACTTGTCTTATGAGGCCAAAGTTGCAGGTCCCGTCCAACTTCGATGGATGTATCCATTTGAGAGGTAAATTTTTTTTTAATAAATTCCAAATTACTTTATTATATATTATGTTTTGATAAACTTCTTTCTATTGCAACTAGGTTCCTATATCATTTGAAGAAAAAAGTGAAGAATAATGCACGTGTTAAAGCTTCAATTTGTTATGCATATATTATGGAAGAAGTGACAATATTTGCATCATACTATTTTGAGCCGCATGTGCAGTGCAAGAGGCGGAGAGCAGGAAGAAATGATGACAGCCCCATTGATCCCAATTGCAAATCATTCTCTATTTTCAATTATCTTGGTCGACCAAGTGGCGCATGTAAGTTTCGTTACTTAACAGACGAAAAATGGCAGGCAGCCCATACATATATTTTACTGAACTATCCAGAAGTGGAGCTATACTTCAAGTAAGTGTACATTTGCAAATATATGTATAGTGTGTCAAACATTTGCTAATATATAAATGGTATTTGTTAACAGGATTTTTCAAACTTCAATGTACGAACTACCATCAAATGAGTTTGACCATTTGTGCGATAAAGAATTTGCAGCATGGTTTAAAACATATGTAAGTTGCTTATGGACCAAAATCAATTTATTAATATTTTATACATAATTTATTAAAATATATATTATTGACTTTGCGAGTGTGACCTTAGGTTCGCAGTAATCATGATCAAGTTGAAGAGTAAGGATTGCTATATCATCTGTCATGGGGTCCAAAGTCAAGAGTACGAAGCTGGTAAGCATATTTCATAAACGGGTATAATTTCACACTCAAGAATATGGAATGGGAAAAGCCACAATGAATAGTGGCGTGTGTTCGGTTATCCAATGGTGGCAGTTCAAAAGATGATTTTTATGGCTTGTTGGATGAAATCATAGAGATAGAGTACCATGGACCATTAATGCAGGTTGTGTTATTTAAGTGCATGTGGTTCGACCCCATCAAAGGAATGAAGGTGTATACGAAGTTTAATTTGGTTGAAATAAATCACAAGAAAAGGTATATGAAATATGAACCATTTGTCTTGGCACAACAAACAATTCAAGTATATTATGCATCATATCCTAGTTTGAAACGTGACAAAGCTGATTGGTGGGCTGTATGTAAAACTTCACGAAAAAAAATCGAGGAACACCGGAATGATACATCATATCAACAAAAGGAAGTTTGTAATGCGGTTGAAACTGAGGAATATAACATTCTAACTTTACGAGATCCATGTGGAGCAATGATAGATGTGGATCCAACTGAAATTCGCAAATCAAATCTAAAAGGTGTTGCAAAATCTAATTTTGAGACAGAGGATGAAGATGAAGATCAATACGAAGACGAAGGTGAAGATCAAGATCAAGACGAAAACGAAGGTGAAGATAAAGATGAAGACGAAGACGAAGGTGAAGATGAAGATTATGATTTTTGAGATTTTTTATTAATTATGTGTAATTATCATTATTGCGACATGTGTTATTGTTGTTGTCATAATTATTGTTGTTATTATTATTATTATTATCATTATTATTGTTATTATTATTATTTATTTGATGAATTGTTAATATGAAAGGTCGTCGCTAATTTCGTCGCTAATTGGCGATAAACATAATTTCGTCGCAAAATTAGCAATTCGTAGCTAATTCCGTCGCTAATTAGTGACGAATTCAAATCCGTCGCTAATTTGCGGCGAAAACAAACTTTTTGCGGCACATTCGCGACTATTTTTATAGTTCGTCGCTAATTCGCGACGAATTCATATCCGTCGCTAATTTGGAACGAAAATTAGCTCCGAAAGATAATTCGTTGCTAATTTGCCGTGACTATTTTTATAGTTCGTCGCTAATTTGTGAAACGGTGTCGTCTTGATTTGGGGGTACAATTAGGATTCGGCTCTCTCTCAATCGATCAATTCTTCAAACAGAGCAAAAAAAATTAGGGTTCTCTCTCTCTCTCTCTCTCTCTCTCGATTCTCGGTGGCTTCCTCCGATGAGTGTTTCTTCGGATTTGGCGTTCTTCAGCGCGATTTTTTCCTGGAGAGAGGAACACCTTCGGTGGACGCTGGGAAGATTGTGCTAACCGTCGTTCGAGAGGAACCTCAAGCGCTCGGACCGTCGTCCGAGAGTTTTAGAGGAGGTACGTTCGCGTGAATTTTTTGCACTTTTTGTCTCGGGTGAGCGCTGTTTCGGATTGTTCAGTTTCGGATTCTGTGGGACGTTTGTTTGCTACTGCTTCTTTTATATTGGATTTCTGCTGCTTCTTTTTGTTTAGATTGGGTCTGCTGTTCGGTTTCGGATTCTGTAGGGCAGAGATTGTTCGGTTTCGGATTCTGTGGGGCTTTTGCTGCTGCTTCTTTTATATTGGATTTCTGCTGCTTCTTTTTGTTCGGATTGGGTCTGCTGTTCGATTTCGGATTCTGTAGGGTGGAGATTTTTCGGTTTTGGATTCTGTGGGACGTTTGTTTGCTACTGCTTCTTTTATATTAGATTGAGTCTGCTGCTTCTTTCTGTTTTTATATTGGATTCGACTCATCTCGGGTTGAATGGATTGGGTCTGATTGGATTTTATATTAGATAGGGTTTGTTTTTATATTAGATTGTTCGGTTTCGAATTGGGTCTATTTTAAGCCAAGTACCTAATTGATGCATTTAGATTGGCGAACTCGGAATTGGCTGAAATTTGGTCAGCTGTGTGGAAACGGGCCGCTGATCAATACATATGGCTATGCCATGATGGACGTCATTTTTTTGCGTTTCGGAGTTGTTTAGATAGGTTTTCGAGCAGAAACACATCGTGTTTCATAGATTTTTAGTCCAGTTTAAATATCGTGTGAAAGATACATGATACACATTGTGTTTCACATGGAACTGCTTTCTAATATTCATTAACAGATTTTGGAACAGAGGGTTCTAGTTCTTGATTGCCAAATATGCTCCCCTTTTATTTATATCTAGGTGTGAAAATATCCTAGTTTGATCATGTCATGTAATATGCTCTCCATCATTCATTCTCCTGTTTTCTTCTTAGATAATAATCACCAGAAAGTTCTTCACTTCACTAGCTTTTTGAATGTTTTTGTAGGCAGAGGTAACAACTGTTATTTGTGGCAAAAAAAGCTAAAGAAGCTCGTAGACATTTCCGGACAACTTGCTATTTATCAAAGGCGATAGCAAGTTTATTTCGTTTTCTCAAGTTTATCTCTTGCTCTCTGAAACAAAATGGTAAGCTTCATGATGTACGTCATTATGTGTCCCTAATACATGTTCATATTTTTTAAGATATTTGTCTAACCTTCCTACTTGTCAGTATAAACATGGAGGTTACATGCATGGTGCAGTTTCACAAAGAAGAGCAGCCCCTTCCCCTTCCTCGTCCCCGTCCCCGTCCCTTTCCTCTTCCCCTGCCCTTTCATGTTTCCCTCAACCACTACATGCTGATGGATAATATGGACACATTGGCCCTTCCTTCGACCCTCAAGAACATGTTAGGGGACAACTTGGACACATGCGAACTGAATCTACTTTAGGTCCATGTCCTTCAGTTCCATCTCCTTCAGTTCCACCTTCTTCTTCAGTGTAACACTCGAATGATGAGGGAAATACAGGTGAAGAAGATAGCCGATTCATAATATGCCCATATGGAGATTCGTAAGTACTTCATTTTTTTAAGTATATGTAATATTTAGGGTTTTAGATATGGATGTCAACTGAATTGTCCATGTTGCAAATTATCTGTATGCTTCATTATTTCATTGTCCATATTGTTCTTTCTAACCTGTTTGCAGATTCATGAATGCTAAGTATGTTGTGAGGCAACTTAATAAAATAGTCAATAACTCTTGGAGGGAGCAGTATATTAGTTACAGCAACGCTCCAAAAGAAGTAAATGATTTGTGGTGGAATGAGTTCAAGGTAAGTTTTGTTCTTCTAGGTGTTTCTAGTGGCCGTGTTAGGGATCGGATCATACCCTCTTATTAGTACTTTTAAGTTTGGAATTGTGTCCAGTGTCTCACCGATATCCATTTTCTGGATTCGATCTCGCCATTATTGGTACTTTGAAGTTTCTCCTAAATATATTCTTGCAGTTTTTTGGCCATGACCAAACTGAGTTAGTCACAACGTGATGGATAGTCCAAAAGCCATCCTAAAAGGTTGCAAGTTTGGGGTTAATGGAAGCCCAAAGGGAAAATATGCTAACTCAACAAAGATTCTAAATTATCCTCGCTTTAAGTGACTAAGTTTTTTTTCTCTTTTTGTGCGTGTTTTATAACGTTTTTGCACTTTTATGATAAAAATGAACCTATTTACTATTAAAAATCACGAATAATTCTAAAATGAACCTATAACAAAGTGTGTATATTTAGGACAATTAATGATAAGGAATGGTTTTTCGAGAGACTATTAAAGACCTTGGCTGGTTACTCCTGTGTATTTGTTGCGAATGACTTTCAATAGCAATAGTATAGCTTCTTTTTCTTTTTCTTTTTTAATTTGATGTCTATATTTCCATTGTTTTCATATGTAAAGTAAAATAGCAGGAAGAAGAGACAAGAGTTGATTGTTCCTTGGGGGCATGTTATATACGAGAGTGCCACCTTGTGTTACGAAATGTAGTCTGGGTGCTATTGTTAAATTGCTCCCTACTTAGGCCTCCAAGTTCTTAGAATGTAGATGGCTTCATTATTTTGGCATGTTTACATTCTCACTTGTGTAACAGATATTGTTTCTTCTAAATATGTTCCTGCATTTTCGCCAGAGTTCGTAAATATGCCTTTGGTTGCAACTTCATCGGTTTGAGAAGGTGTGTGTGCATCCGAAGAGTTGCTCTAATATCATGTCAATGGATATATATAAAGGGTGGAAGAACTCATTCCGAAAAGTCGGCTTGCCAAGAGAGGGAATGCAAATGCTTATACAACTCTTTAGTTGTCAGAAGTGGGAAGTCCCACATCAAGTAGTAATGGATATGAACTTTAGAAAATCCATTGCCGAATTGTCTGGTGCATGGTAATGGATATGTGACCCTCATAATAACTTTCAGTTGTTTTTCTATTGATGCAGCGGAAGTTCAGGTGCGATGAAACGGAAGAGGATAAAGTTAAAAGAATTTTTAAGAAGAAAGTCGGTGATCACATACGAAATGTGATGAATAAAGCAAAGATAAGTCAAGTAAAGCCAGATTTTATTACGGGTGACAATTGGACAGAAATTAAGAGAACTTGGGAAATTGAAAGAATAAGCAAATGAGTGAACAGAATAAGATGAATCGTGCTTCTAGTTCTTGTGAAGGGTCTGCCACATATGCTGGGGGCTCTATCAACATCGGGGAGCATAGAAAAAGAATGGAAAGTCTGTTAAACATGTTGTAAGTTAATTTAATTCAATTACTCATTTATGTTTATATTTTGTAGGCAGATGAATTGGGGACGGAACCGACATATACAGCTACATTTGAACGCACATTTCAAAAAGATAAGACATGGACTGGTGATCGAGCAAAAGCTATTAATGTATGTAAGGTTATACTTGAAGGTATGTAAGTTTATGGAAACTAGAATGAAAACCATGAATGCTTTTAATATTTATGGTAGTTATATATATGAAGTTATTTTATTTTTATCTATATTGTTAATGTTGGAAAAATATGATGAACTTTTAATGAGTACTGCTAATGGTAGTGGTGGTGATGGTGTTGCTGCGTCTGAGCCATTAGTTGACAGTATTGCATTATGGGTGGAGGCATCGGGTGGGATGAAAAGAGGAAAAATATTTGGGATGGGATCCTTGTCAAGGGTATACACAACGCAGGCTGCTGTGACTTCATCCTCCAATGCGGCTGTTTGAAGGAGGACACGACTTGAGAAGCAAATGACCCAAGAATTGAGCAAACCGAAACATTTACTTTTAGAGAAGGATGAAGAAATAAGAGTGGTCAAACAACAAATGCAATAGACCTTGCGACACCTTAACCTTGATCACGATGAGGTTCCTCTTGTGCCTCCGACTAATCCAATAGGTGATGGCCACAATGATGAGCGACATGATGATGATGACATTGCTGACGATGATAATGATTTTGTCAGTCCTTGCTAGTTAAAATTTCCATTTTCATATCATTATAATATTTTTAAGCACTAAATTTTGAGCACTATGTATTTCATCATCATATCATTATGTATTTAAGCACTAAATTTTGATGTTATTAAGTGCTTAATCAATGCTAAATAAAAATTCTAGAAAATAATTTTGCTGTTAATTATATTGTAAATCGAAATCGTCCCTAAATTACATTCGTCGTTGACTTCGTCGCTAAAGAGTTAATAAAATTTCGTCGCTAAATTTGTTCCGGAACAATGTTCGTGGCAAAAGTAAAAATTTTTCAAGGCAAATTAGCGACGAATTTTGCCACAAATAAGTTCGTCGCAAATTACTGACAAAAAAAAAAATTCCGTGGCAAATTAGCGACGAATTTTGCCATGAATAATTAGCGATGAATTTTGCCACGAACAATTTGCGATGAATTTTGCTACGAATACAATTTGTTACTAATTAGCTACGAATTTTGCCATGAAAAATTATCAATGAATTTTACCACGAATAATTAGCGACAAATTTTGCCACGAATATAGTTCGTGACTAATTAGCGACGAATAATTAGCGACAAATTTTGCCACGAATATATTTCATCGCAATTTAGTGATGAAAATTGAAATTTTTTGTCGCTAAATTTTGTGATGCCAAATTGGCGACGGAATTTTTTTTGTCGCAAATTCGTTTAGCGACGAATTTTTCCATTTTTTTCGTGGCCAAATTCATCGCTAAAACCTACTTTTTTTTGTAGTGAACAATATCATTAGTGTGGGATCCATGTCGTGTAAATGAACTCAGAAAATGCCGTCTTGCATTAATTAATGTCATTTATGTTACATATAGGACCTCTGCATGTCGTTTTGCATTTACTTTGGTCACACGTGATGCATATAGGACACATTTACGCTCGCATTTCCCAACCCTTCCGAAGGGATTTGGGGGGTGTTTGCACCAAAAAGTAACCAGGTCGTTGATATGGATAGACACGCAACTAGAGTAGATGTTATTATGAACACGCGAGCCATTGTTGATGACCATAAGAAATGTTATCGATATTGATGTGCATCAATAAACATTAATTAGTTGTCCAAACACGGCAGAGTATGGTTGACGATTATTGTAACAGAGTTAGTCGACAAAGATATCGGTGCAAGAAGGTCGATAGATTACCAATTGAAACACCAAGAGAAGACTAGATACCTAGATGGCGTCATGATGCAGTCATGGAATTTCAAATTTGAAATCATAGGTGAATGAAGCGACGAAGTCTAGTAAATTGTGGAGTAAGAATGAAGGTGATAATAGATGGACATGAAGGATCAAAATGCAATTTTAAAGGAGCAATGTCCGAAGACGGGATCATGGCATCGCGAGAACATAGGCCCAAGATTCTTGGAGATATGGGGTCTGCATAGCAACGTTTCTATTCCCAGAAATAATTTCTGATCAGAAATAGTTTTTTCTATTTCTATTTCTTGAAACAGTTTCTGAGTAAAAAATAGCGTTTAGTAACTAAACAAAATTTCTATTCCTGGAATAGAAAAAGAATAGAAATGCGTTTAGGGCGCGAATGATCCATTTCTATTCCATGGACGAGTTTCTCCCTTTTGGGCTACCGGCGGAGGACGGCGGGTGGCGGTGGGGGGCGGAAGACGGTGGTCGGCGGCGGCAGAGGATGGCGGCCGGTGGCGGGAGGCATTGAGCGACGGAGCATGGTGGTATTGAGCGGCGGTGACGGCAGCGGGGGGCGGTGGCGGGAGGTGGTTGGCGGCGGAGGGTGGCCAGCGTTGGTCGATGGAGCACGGCGGCCGGTGGCGAAGGATGGCGGCCGATGGTGGGTGACCACCGGCGTCGGGTGGCCAGAGGCGGGAGGTGGCCGGCGGCCGAGGGCAGCCAGCGCCGAGTGGTGGCTGGCGTCGGGCGATGGAGCACGATGGCGGGCGGCGGAGGATGGTTGCCGGTGGTGGGTGGCCGCCGGCGGCGGAGGACGACGACCGGTGGTGGGTGATCGCCGTCGTCGGGTGGTTGGCAGGGGGAGGCGGCCAGCGCCGGGTGGCGGCCGGCGTCGGGCGATGGAGCACGGCGGCCGACGGTGGAGGACGGTGGTCAGTGGCGGGTGGCGACAAGCGTCGAGCGGCGGAGGACAGTGGTTGACGACAAGAGGTGGCCGGCGGGTAGGAGGCAGCCGGTGGGCGACGGCGGAAGCCGGGCGGTAGGTGGCGGCGAAGGACGGCGAGAGGCGGCGGTAGGCGGGTTGTGGCCGATGGATTGTTTCTTGTTTTTGGAGGATTCCAGAAAAAATCGTTTCTTGTTTTTGTCCCAGAAAAAAAGAAGTAGATTTTTTTTTGCTTTTTGTTTCTGTTCCAAATTTATTCCGGGATCACTTTTTTGTTCCAGAAACAAAAAAGTAGATTTTTTTTAGTAAATGGATTTCTGTTCTTTTTCTGTTCCGGAGAACAAAAGAACAGAAAAACAAAGAAACATAAACGTTACTAAACAGACCCATGGAGGTATGGTTATAACTCCAAGAGGACTGCTCCAGATGGTTATGCTGTTGAGAGAGAGAAAGATCGGGTTTTACCATTTATGTAGAGTCAGCTATAATTTTTTTTACAATTATTTGATTTATGACAAATATTTTAAATTTTTAGCAGGGAGAATAGAATAGTTAATTTCTCGCGACATTTTTTAAAGTTCAAACAAATAACTACTTTTGTTGGTATGTAAGAAGGACAAGTAGAAGACAAGGAAAATAGAATAGTTACTTGTGACTTTTGCGTTTCGTGTTTCCTTAATTAATTTAGTTAATTCCGTGTGTTTTATATTTGTGATAACATTAACTATAGAACATATCCTTATGAAAACAATTATACTTGAAATTTTAGGAATATTGAATCAATACAACTCTAAATGAGATTCCATTTTTACTATTATAGAGATCACAAGCTAAAATAAACTTAATTGTAACTATAGTAACATTGACAAAGACCACAAAGGTAATATAAATATATCGTTTTTTTTGTTTATTAAGTAAATGTATTCAAACAAAAAGATATTCGAAAATCTGGGCCATGGTAGATTGCACATTTCACAATAGGTTGAGGACTTGGAGTGACTTTCTCCCTATTTGATCAAGCAAAAGGACATCATTTATCATTAAAAAATAATTCAAAGACGACATTGGACGAATCAAAAGTATAAGGATAACATTGCACATTAAGCCAAAGTTTAAAAACTATTAGTGTCGTTATCCCATTTCTTGAATACAGGTTATTATACATGTAAGACTTCTACACTGCCATTATTCTATTTATATAAAAGTTGATTTGCAATTTCTACACTGCCTTATTCTATTTACGTATGGACTTTCATGGTTACTTGTTAGGTCGAAGCATAGATTTGTAATTGAATATAATTCAAGGAATGTACATTGCGAATAGCAAAAGAGATCCCAACGTTTGATCTCTTCATATCAATCAATGAGGGGCTTTCAGACGGATCGACGATTTTTTTTTTGTCTAACTCCGTCGTTCCCATCTCGTCTCAAACTCATCCTTTTCTTCAAAAAGTTCATTTTACTTTTTATGACACAAAAATTAGTCTCTCGTAAATGTATTATGGGTACTAGTTTTAGAGTTTTTGTGATAGTCTGAGATATTGGTGAGACCGGTCCATCAAGAGAAAAAATACAGCAGCCATGTGGACAGATCTATCGTTTACAAAAAAAAAATCCATAAGAATCCAAAGGAAAAACAAAAAAAAGTGAATGAAAAGATAAAAGCCCTATAAGAATCCATAGGTTCTTTAAGTTCTTCATGACAACTTAGTGCCTGTTTGGTAATGTTTGTATAAATAGTTTTTGTGTTTTTGAAAGAACAAACATTTTTTGACATGAAACAGCTGTTTGGATGACTATGGATAACAAGAGATATTAAAAAAACAATCAACGAATATATAAGTTTGAAAGTAGAGACATTTTGCTTTTGGTAAATAGGAAAAAAAATGATTTTGATTAGCTTTAACATGATATCAACGAAGTAAAACATCGGAGCCAAAAGACTACTTCATCTAAGAACCTCTATCGTTTGCTTGTTCATCATAACATTAATAAAAGCTGTTGGTGCCTTTAAAATTTTTGTGAGGCATGCAATTGCAAAATTAATGGCAGCTGCGTATCATTACCATTCATAGTGATGCCCCTCATATCACATTATAAGAGCAATTATTGCTTTTGAATTTTTGTTTGTCTTCGAATAATTAGAATTTTCTTATGTCGACTAATAACTAGTACCGTTGTTTTCTTAAATTAACAAATGGAGGCCATCAACAAATAAAGATTGCAGTGCTTTCGTTAGTTCTTAGTAGTTAATATCAATGTAAAGTATTTAACTTATGAATGAAATGTATTACTGAGCCCTGACATAAACAAAAAGTATAATGTCCATGTATAAGTGACATGCATTGTTTTAGCGAAAATGATGTTAAATAACATTTTATTATTTGGAGTAACCAACTATTATTTTTCACTGTGAATAATTTGAATAAATTCGAAACAAGTTAAAAGGTTTTATTATTATAAAAGAGAACAAAAAAGTAAATGAATCCAAACGGCGGCTTAATAATAATAATAATAATAATAATAATAATAATAATAATAATAATAATAATAATAATAATAATACGTGAATCGTATTTCTATAGGTGCTATAGGTTAGAGCAAGATTTCTATCTGTAATCCGTGCATCACACTTGAATGAAAACTAATCTAAGAACAATAGCAAGTAGTAAAATATCAGACACAAAATGTTTCAAAATAGGTTTTTCGATCTTTGGTATGGAAAAAACTAGTAATTTTTACAAAGATGTTGTTAACGAGTGACCCCAAAATACTGGTTGATTATATTTAATACAAAAAAGTTTTGATCTTTGATATACTAGTTAAACATAATACGAGTAAGATAAAATATCGAAAATTACAATTTTTTAAAATTTAGTGTTTAACAAGTGTGCAGGGAAAAAACTCTATGGTAGTAATAATAATAACAAAATTACTTGAATTGTACTTCTATAATTGCTATAGGTTAGAGCAAGATTTCTATTTGTAGTCCGTGCGTCACACATGAATGAAAACTAATTTAAGA